CTCAGTGGCAGGGTTCGCATGGCGGCCCCGCGCCATTTTGGCGCAACCATCACACGGTTCGTGGCCCCATATGGGGGCTCCACCGAAAGCACCAATGGCACGGTTCGCATGGCGGCCCCGCGTCATTTTGGCCCACCCCTCACACGGTTCGTGGTCCCATAACGAGCTCCACTGAAGGTTTCAGTGGCAGGGTTCGCATGGCGGCCCCGCGCCGTTTTGGCGCACCCATCACGGTTCAAGGCCCCAGTGGCAGGGTTCGCATGGTGGCCCCGCTCCATTTTGGCGCACCCTTCACAGTGGCAGGGTTCGCATGGCGGCGCCGCGCCATTTTGGTTCCTCACACGGTTCGTGGCCCCACAGGGAGCTCCACCGAAGGCCTCAGTGGCAGGGTTCGCTTGGCGGCCCCGCGCTATTTTGGCCCACCTCTTACACGGTTCGTGGCCCCATAGGGAGCTCCACCGAATGGCGGCCCCGCCCCATTTTGGCGCACCCCTCACACGGTTCGAGGCCCCATTGGGAATTACTGTTGCTTCGTCCCCCTGCCTTGCGGTTCTCACACTTGCGTATGGTTGGGTCTTTCGCCCGGATAATTGTTACAGGGGATGGTGGGGCAGAGTGTGTTTTGTATTGTTTTACCTAACAGCGAAGACTGATAGGTTTCTAGTGGGGTCAAAAGAGAGCATCTTGACTCCCCAGGGGGGTCCGGGCAGGATCCGGGGAGAAACCGCGGAAGTCGTTTTAAGCAAACAGTTACACACTTCGTGGTCTTCGAGGTCCCAGAACTCCATTCCCGGGCCACATTCTGAATGCCCGGAGCCAACTGTAGGCCACTTCGTGTCTTCGAGTTCCCAGAACTCCATTCCTGGGCATGATTTTGAATGCCCGGAGCCAACTGTAGGCCATTCGTGGTCTTCGAGTTCCCAGAACTCCATTCCTGGGCATGATTTTGAATGCCCGGAGCCAACTGTAGGCCACTTCGTGGTCTTCGAGTTCCCAGAACTCCATTCCTGGGCATGATTTTGAATGCCCGGAACCAACTGTAGGCCACTTCGTGTTCTTCGAGTTCCCAGAACTCCATTCCCGGGCCACATTTTGATGCTGAGGCAGGCTGATGCTGAGGCTGAGGCAGGCTGAGGCTGAGGCAGGCTGAGGCTGAGGCGAGGCTGAGGCTGAAGGCAGAGGCTGAGGCTGAGGCTGAAGGCAGGCTGAGGCTGAGGCTGATGCAGGCTGAGGCTGAGGCAGGCTGAGGCTGAGGCCGAGGCTGAAGGCAGACTGAGGCTGAGGCTGAGGCTGAGGCTGAGGCTGAGGCTGAGGCTGAGGCAGGCTGAGGCTGAGGCTGAGGCAGGCTGATGCTGAGGCAGGCTGAGGCTGAGGCTGAGGCTGATGCAGGCTGAGGCTGAGGCAGGCTGAGGCTGAGGCCGAGGCTGAAGGCAGGCTGAGGCTGAGGCTGAAGCAGGCTGAGGCTGAGGCTGAGGCAGGCTGAGGCTGAGGCTGAGGCAGGCTGATGCTGAGGCAGGCTGAGGCTGAGGCTGAGGCTGATGCAGGCTGAGGCTGAGGCAGGCTGAGGCTGAGGCCGAGGCTGAAGGCAGACTGAGGCTGAGGCTGAGGCTGAAGCAGGCTGAGGCTGAGGCTGAGGCAGGCTGAGGCTGAGGCTGAGGCAGGCTGATGCTGAGGCAGGCTGAGGCTGAGGCTGAGGCTGATGCAGGCTGAGGCTGAGGCAGGCTGAGGCTGAGGCCGAGGCTGAAGGCAGACTGAGGCTGAGGCTGAAGCAGGCTGAGGCTGAGGCTGAGGCAGGCTGAGGCTGAGGCTGAGGCAGGCTGATGCTGAGGCAGGCTGAGGCTGAGGCTGAGGCTGATGCAGGCTGAGGCTGAGGCAGGCTGAGGCTGAGGCCGAGGCTGAAGGCAGACTGAGGCTGAGGCTGAAGCAGGCTGAGGCTGAGGCTGAGGCAGGCTGAGGCTGAGGCTGAGGCAGGCTGATGCTGAGGCAGGCTGAGGCTGAGGCTGAGGCTGATGCAGGCTGAGGCTGAGGCAGGCTGAGGCTGAGGCCGAGGCTGAAGGCAGACTGAGGGTGAGGCTGAAGCAGGCTGAGGCTTAGGCAGGCTGAGGCTGAGGCTGAGGCAGGCTGAGGCTGAGGCAGGCTGAGGCTGAGGCAGGCTGAGGCTGAGGGTGAGGCTGAGGCAGGCTCAGGCGGAGGCAGGCCGAGGCTGAGGCCGAGGCTGCAGGCAGACTGAGGGTGAGGCTGAAGCAGGCTGAGGCTGAGGCAGGCTGAGGCTGAGGCTGAGGCTGAGGCTGAGGCAGGCTGAGGCTGAGGCTGAGGCTGATGCAGGCCACTGCGACCGTCATCGCGAATGCGACTACGACTGCGAGAACAGCAGAATTCTACAACTGGATTATCATCTGAATCTTAAGGGGAACGCTTCCAGATATGCTCCTACACATCGCTGTTCGGTTGCTTTGCCGGGATAATTTTACAAGGGATGATGGTGGGGGGGCCGCATGGACTTGAGTTGGATCCCAGTCGCCTGGGGGAGGGGGTGTATATTAATAGGGAGCAGTGATCAAGACACCCTCCGAGATAGCGAGCCGTCTAGCTCACCCACTCGCCCTCTCAACACATAAGTAACACCCAAGTCTCAGCATGCTCAGCGGTCGTCTGGATGGACAGTTACTGGGAACCAAAACCGACCCCATGTGTGCGACGCTGGGGCGAGGTGCGCCACACGTGCCAGGCGCGCCACGCGCGCCGGGCACCCATGGGGCCCGAGCGTGCCAGGCCCGCCTGGCCCGCCAGATGCGCTACCTGCGCCAGGTGTGCCGCATACTCCAGCCGCGCCAGGTGCACCACGTTCGGGGCACGTGCAGGGAGTGTCAGGTGCGCCTGTGCACGCTACAGCACAGATCGGGAAACATGTCGGCACCCACCATCCTTGTCGAATACCAATGCCCATCATGGTGTCTGGTGGGCCTGCGCACAGCAGGCCATGCACCACCTCCCCCGCCGTCCCTGTCAAAAGCCACTTGACAGTGATCGCGGGGTGGCCGCGCAAGATCCAGATGTAGCCGCGAGGTACATCTTGCATTATTTTTCGACAGGGATGGTAACCTTGCGCGCAGCAGGCAATATGCTGACACCCCTGCCGTCCCTGTCAATAACAATACAAAGTGCCCGCGGGCCTCACGAATTGTTTTTTAAAAGGAATGGATCGGGTTGGTTGCGCAGGCTCCGAATTTGGAGGCACAGTGTGTTTGGTATTGTTTTTTTGACCAGGATGGTTGGGGGGGTGGGAGCATAGGGTCGGCATTGTTCCTGGTTGGCTGCCGGTCGCCTGGGGCAGGGGGTGTATATTAATAGGGAGCAGTGGTGAACCCCTTCCCCGACGGGGAAAACAGTGGGTTCCAAGAGGAAACGCCCGAAACCACATACGCCCTAAAGGGCTGGTGGGATTCCGTAATCCCTCCCCCTCTTGCCAAGAGAGCTTCCCAGCAGGCCATGTAATTGCAGCATCAGTTTGAGATGCACTTCCATAGTCTATGTATCCCCCGATCTGAATTGGCGCTACGCGGGCCAACACAGCCACGTCATGTTGTTGACGGAGCTGTTGTTCATGTGGCCAAGTGCTGGTGAAAGACGTTCGCCATCTCGCCCACCTCTTACCACTACTGGTGAGCCTCTCCCCCCTGCGGTTCCTCCTCCCGCATTCCTCCTCACCCCCCCTTCCTCCCTCGTCGCCTTGTCGTACCCTGTTTGCGGGGCACCGCACAGCGGCTCTGGGCGTCCCAAGCGGCGCCCCAGGCCCCGCGAGTGACAATTGAATAGGTTTCGTGCCCACGAGCAGTAGCCCTGCAGGGCCCATTTCGATCTGATCAATCTGATTCGATATCGGCTCTGGCGGCAAGCCCGATCCGATTCGATTCCGATGTTCCGACGATTCGATGCGGTCCGATGCCTGTACGGCGCTGTTGTGCATCCTTGCGCTGCCGATCCGGCTCGATTTCGACTCCTTGCCGAGGTGGCCCGATGCGAGGAAGATGCTGATGTGGTCCGATTCCCCTGCCCTGCTTCGCCCCAACCCTCATCTTGAGTGGGTCTTTATGGAAGCTCACTTTAACATGCATGATGCACTTCCTTGCATGTGTGTCGAGGCTGCAGGAGGCCGCCGAAGGCCACTGAAGGCTGCATGTTGCTAAAGGCCACTGCAGCCTACTACACCGAGGCGGTGTGTGTGAGAATGAGCTTCCAAAAACGACTCGCCTAAATCATCGCCCCTCGTCTCCCCCCCCATCTCCCCGCCCAGCAGGGCGCATGCAACGGACATCATGGGCCCAGGATAGGCCTGGCCAGGGTCGGTGCCTATGTGTGGTGGTGCTCCCTGTGACCACCCTCCAGGGCCCATTTCGATCCGACTGATCTGATTCGATGTCGGTATCGGCCAGCTCGATCCGGCTCGTTTTCGATTTCCCGGCGATCCGATGCGGCCCGATGATCACATGGTGTTGATGTGCATTTGGGTACAGCCGATCCGATTTGATTTCGACGCCGTGTTGACGCGGCCCGATCCGACGCACCTTCCGATCCCTTGCGATATCTCGATTCAATGTTGACCGATCCTACCTTCGCCCCTCCCCCCCAGCCAGGAGAGCTGGCCTCTTCCTGCGTATAGGTCTTTTGCCACGTTGTGCCGGGTCTTTCTCTTCGTCGTCGTCGTCGTCGCCCTGCCTCCCCCGCGAGCTCTCGCGCTTGGGAATTACACAGGGATCCAAAGGTGCATCCTGGGCACATTATGTCGGCGCCTCGCCTCGGCTGACAGGAGAGCGAGTACAGCGATGTAGGCCACAACGTGCAGCGCCCAGCACGGTTCCCGCAGCAGTTCCCGCAGCAGTTCCCCGCCGACGAGGGCGTATGGGCGTATGCAACGATCAAGGGCACAGGATGCGGTTCGTATGCGTTGCGCTCCTCCTTCTGTTCACCCTCGCCCCCCAAATATCCCTCCCCCCTGCCAGGAGAGCGAGTACAGGTTCCCGCTGTTCACCCTCGCGGTCAACACCTACTGCAGCCCGGAGGGCGCAGAGGCGGCGCTGCGCGCCGGAGCGTTTTGCCGTGCCCCGCGCGCTCCCCGCAGTTGCTTGCGGGCCACACTTGCATTCGTATCCATTGCGTCTTGGACTTTTGAGTTTCCTTCCCCAGAAGGCCAGAGGCGCAGTGGATATGGATAAAGTTCTGACCCCTATAGAGGATCGACTTTTTATCCATATTCACTGCGCCTCAGCCTTGCGGCGCCCCTTCCCAGAAAGTCCAAGATGCAGGGGATGTGGGTATCAATCATGCCCGCATCGTTGTCGCCGTCCTCCCCCCTCCTTCCTGCTCCTTTGAAGACGGCCGAAGCCTCACGAATGGCTCGGTGGGCCGCGACCGGCCTCAGTCCGAATCCTCATTTGGGGGCAGGCCTTATCTCATCGGAGCTGGCCCAGGGCCTGCAGGCCAGCGTGGACTTCCGCTCAGGGCAACGGCCCCGTGCGATCTGTCGTAACCGTCGCTACGACATATGCGGCGTCCGTCGCCGCCGCCGCCGCCTGTCAGGGACGCCTACGATCCGATTCGATGCGATTCGATTCGCCGACTGTGGCCGCGATTCCAATTCGATGCGATCCGGCTCTATTCACCGGCATCGGCCAGGGCCAGCCGGAAGCGGGACGGCGCGGCGCTTCGATACCGATCCGATTCGGGACGATTCGCTGGCGAATCGATCCGCTCTCGATCCGATCCGATTTCGCGATCCGATCCAGCGCAGACCTGCCTGCTCCTCTTTGCCGCCTTCGTCCTTGTCGGGCCTCCGCCCTGCCGATGCCGCCCTCCCGTGCGGCCTGCGGCGTCGGGTTTCGCGGCCCTCCCCTTCTCAGGCGCGCCCTCGCGTGACAGTGCGGGCCTCTCTCTCGGCTTCTCCTCCTCCTTGTCTGGGACACGTAGGACTCGAGTAGATCGGAACTCGGGTTCGCCTGCGTTTTTTGACGAGCCCGCCTCGGACTTTGACGGTCCAGTTTTCCCGGGGCGTTTGCAGCGGGAGCTCGCGTGCAGTTTCAGATCGGGACTCGTCACTTTCATGATGGCCCCGTCAGGCCACCCCGGGTCCCCCGAAGGTATGCGCACCAATCGACAGGAAATGCGGAGGAGCACCAGTCTAAAGTATCCAGACGCCTGAGATTGGTCTGCTACCAGAGCTGCGACCAAACAACTATCTGCACTCTCTCATTCTTTGCGAGAGATTGTGCTGGTTTTGTGTACTTCATTCGAGGTGCAGGCGACCCGAGTCTTACGTCTCCCCGATGCTGGGGCAGGTGCGCGCCTCCCTGCTCCTCCTCCTCCTCCTCCTCCTCCTCCTCCTCCTCCTCCTCCTCGCTCCCCTCCCTCGCCCTCTCGGCGCTGCGGCCGCCGAGCGAGAGTGCCCCAGGCTGCGGGGGGTGCCGAGCGCGGGCCGAGGCGAGGCGGGCCCAGCCTTAAGTCGGGCCGGTCCCCATACAGGGGGAATTTCGACGAAAAGTAAGGAATACCCCAAACATAGTCCAAAAACCGTCCAACAATAGTCTGGGGAGTATGTTTTAAATTGTTGTTTGCCTTTTGGGGGTGTGTTTTGGGTATGTTTTATTTTTCGTCGAACATCTGCCTGTAGGGGGACGCCCGAGCCAAGCCCAGCCGCCAAAGGTCGAGCAGGGGCTGGACCACACAACTGGTGTGCCCCAGATGGAATCTCCTCGTCGATCGAATCTGCAAGGAGGCGCCGCTCTCTCTTTTTTTTGCGGATCCGACGAAACAAACACATGATTTCAGCGTGCGTCGATTCTGTAGACGCTCCCCGACTCGAGACGTCGCTCAACGAATGCCCCAGGAGTGTCCCTCCCTCGTCCCTGTTTAGCTGGCCCTCCACGTCGCTCTTTCCTTGGATTCGGCGAAGAATCCATCCTGGGGCAACTCGATGCTGTAGCCGATCCCCTGCGAAGCGTCGCTCCTGGGAGGTCCCAGGAATGCCCCTCCCTCGCCCTTTTTCCAGCTGGCCCTCCGCGCCGCCCCTCGCCCCCCCGGAGCGCGGGCCACGGCAGGGCGCCCCCCCCCCCCCGCCCACCCTTGATGGGCGTGTTTTCCACCACCACCGCCACCATAAGTTGGAGGGGAAGGGGGGCCCCCTCCCCCTCCACCTCCTCCTCCCCCTCCTCCTCCTCCTCCTTCTCCTCCTTCTCCTCCTCCACCTTCTCCTCCTCCTCATCAGTCGCTGGGCGTCTTTTCCCCGCTCGTAGTGCCCTCGGTGCACCACGATATTGCTCAAGGGCCCTCGGGCCAACGCGTGCACCCCGCGCACGCGTCCTGCATGTGGCCTTGAGCCAACGCAGCGGCGGTCACGCCGCTGTGCCGTCGCCGTCGGGGCGGGGGTCCAGGGCCGTGTTCTCGACTCTGGTGGTGAACGTGTTCAGGTCGTTGATCTTCAGCTCACAACTGACCTCCCACGAGTACGCACCCATGAACCCCACAAGGTCGGCCCAGTCCACGCACCAATCTGTCTCCACGGACTGGCCCGTCATGCACATAATTTCGAGCTCGCCCAGCAATGGGCGGAACCCCGCGGACTAACTGCGTCAGCAGTATCCTCGCCGGGCCTCCCAAGCGTCGGTATGACTGGGGAGGGCCCGGCAATGCGTCCGTTGCGAGGCCCAGACCCGCGTGACGACTTAGCGTCCTGACACCGATCCAGACCTCCATCTGGATGCCCAAAAAACCATGAACACCGCGGTCTTCACGACAGTGCTCAACTCGAGCCGACACTCTGGAGCACACGTCCCGAAGATGTCCACGGTAGTGCCTCGTGTACCGTCTTCCACTCGCCTCGTGCGACGCACCTCAGTGCGTCTCGTAGAACAGCTCCTTCTGTTAGTCCGTCTGCACAGCAATCCTTTGTGTCGATCCACCACAGTCTCTTGAGTATACCTGGATCCAGAAGTTCTCGAATCCACTGAGCATGGTACAGCGTATGTCTCTCTGCTGGAATCCGTAGCTGCTCCGCCGTGATGCCACTAAACACACTCTGGGCATCCACACAAGCCTCCAGATCAATTGCTGGTTTAATACTGGCTTCACTTCCGTCGACCATGTCTCGCAGCTGCCTGGCCGTCAATTCTCCAGTCTGAACCTCCGTCAGGAAACCGGCCAGCAGCAATACACAATCACAGCAATATGATAACTGACATAACTCTGCTCCCCACGTGGATCGTACAACATGAGCTTGTTTCCGGGAGTAATATTCTAAAACGTTGCATCTACCTCCAAACTCCTGCTTCGTCTCGATCAACAAATAAACAGCTCCACGCATAGCCAAACCCTTATCGTCAGGTTCTCTCCGAAAGGCCGCATCCCCAACAGCCATCAGCTTCACGGGGGGAGTCAACCTCTGTGCCGTCAAAACCAGAGGATTCTCCTTCATATACTTGAGCAGCACGTTCATCTTCCTGATATGTCCAACCTTCGGTGCCTTACCGTGGCGTTGGATTGCTGCGACGTGGATACATATGTCAATCCTCGTCATGATGCACCACGCGAGAGCTCCAAGCAAAGATGGGTAGAGCTTCACGTGCTTCTCGGGTGGATCTTCGTCGTTTCCTCTGCCCTGCAGTTGCTTCTTGTCGATACAATTCAAATTCATATTCGGTCTGGTCCACCTCGATGTTCATATCCTCCAGCTGTCTGTGGCGCAGGCCACAGTGTACAACATTACTCTCACTCATAGTCATCTTGCCGAAAACTGCCTCCAGTGATGAAATCATCTCGCCGGTCGCCTTATCGGTCCCCGCGTACTTCAAATCATCTAGACGTGTAGAAACAACCATTTTCCAAAACCACCTGGACGTGCTTCAGCCAGAGCTGGGTGTCTGCATGTGTTGGTCTAAGCCCGCTCGACAACAAAACTTGATCACGTCGAAGTCCAAATAACTTCGGGGCATCATTGAGACCAAATCCTCATTTCTCCATATGCAAGAACTGCAAAATCGAGTTGAAACCCTCGAAACCTTCCACTTCACATAATAGCTCAGCTGTGGCCTTCGGCAGCTCGAAACAAATGTCTCTAATCGGTTCGTTGAGCAGCTGCGCGACCTCCTCGAAACTCATTCCCTGCAGGAAGGCCGATGAGATGTCCGCACTACATAGCTTCCAACGATTCTGCGCTGCAAGAATATTCGCCGTTCTCTGTCCCCATCTCGTGCTGGTCGCGGAGAACGTCTTCACCTCATCCTTATGTCTGTCTTTGAACCCACGTACCGTAAAAGTCTGCATCGGATGATCCTGGTCATAGTTCCGTCTGTACCCGTTTCCATTTATCGACCCACTTCGTGTCGATGAGGTTCCTGGCTTGCCTACGAGGTCGCCTCGACATGGCCTTGAATCCTGCCCAGTGCCGTAACTCCTTAAGTCGTGCCGCTCGAACTGCTTCTCGGTGTTCGATCTTCTCGGCAGGCGTCAGCAGGTTGTCATCTCTCTCTATCACGGCCGTGGCGGTCCATCCTCGTAGAAGATCAACACAGCCACATCGTCCACGTGCGTAGGGTCTCCATTGATGGCCGGCTCGTTTATCATCTTCCAGGCTGTTGCTGCGAATCCTATCTGGAAGACCTTCTCAGGTTGCAGTGACTCCACTATGTCGTCCGTCGCCTTCGCGTGCGTGGTGTTCTGCGTGTTCCAGGCCTCTATCACATCGTAGTCCTGGATGATCTCGTTCCGCTCGAGAACGGACATGTCTGGCTCTTCCGTGAGGTAGCCGATCATGTCCATGAAATCGTTCTCGTCCACGTCCCTCGTCAAGTCCGAGTCCTCCTTCGGTATTGCCCAGAAAGCCTCCAGGCTGTACAACCTTTCCGATGACGACGCTGCCTCCGCTGGAACCGTGCTCCCGCTGGCTGGTGTGTTGGCGCCATCATCTGCTGCTTGAGTAGGTTCAGCTGGCGTTGGCAGCCCGGGAGGTGGCTCTGGTCTATCTGGCGGTTCGTCTTCCAACCTTCTTGCTAGATGCTCTGCTGGATTTTCCGAGCCTTGC